CCCTGCCACCAGGTCCTGAAGGAGCGTTTGGACCAAATCTTCTGAAAAAACAGGGGCTTTGGGAACTTACAGGGAAAATTGTAATGCTATAAGAGAACAGGCTCTCGCCAAGTAGCTGGGCATTTGAATTATACGGAAATTGTCGGGTACACCCAGTGCACGTTTGCATGTGAGGCCGGAGCCTGGACAAGGCGGTTGGGAGTCTGGTGTGGGGGTCATTCCCAGTGGTGTAGATTTTCCCACGTCACTTGGCAGAAACCCTTCCAAAAGCCGAGGCCAGGATACCCCGCTCACTTTCCCCACTGAGCCAGGAAGGGTGGTTTGGCCCAAACCTGGGAAAGCCCCCCGAGAACAGTAAAGGACAGTTATCAGGGCAAATCTGCCCGTTTTCGGAAATCAGAATTCCTGGGTCTTTCTTAAATTCTTCCTTCATTCGGGCCCGGGGGTTTTAGGTTTTGGTTCTTTCCAGTTCTGGTTAAAGGAGGAGTGAGGACCTCTGAGCGAGAGGCAGGGGCATCCTGGTATGTTCACTGTGGTCATCCTGGGAGTGGGGTGGGCAGCGAGTTCCTGAGGTTAGAGGACAGCTCTGTCCACAGGGTGGAGGCTGAGGGGCAGCGGTCACATTTAGGGGACTGGGGTACTTGGAAATAAACCACCTGCTTCTGGGGGAGCCGGGGTAAGCCCCTAATTCCTAGAGCCTAGCAGGAGAAATAAAAGGCCATCCCCTGTTTATTTGCTGGACAGAGTTCGCTGGGAAGGGCCCCTAAAGCTTCCCTGGGGGCCCAGGGCGCCGGAGGTGCTCCAGGCCCCACGGCTACCTGGAGCTGGGCCTGCGTTTTCCACCTCCTGGGGTCAAAGCCACCACAAACCTCGACGCCCCGTTCCCTCAGGGACAGTGAGGAGACCCCAGGTGCTTGCGCCTGGACGCTCCATCACTCGCCGCCGCCCTTCGAGGGGCTTTGTGGTCCCAGGAACAGCCGGGGGGTTCGGCTGGACAGGTTCTCTGCCCCGCGCGTCCCCCGGCCTCTGGTCCCCAACTCCGGAC